GCGACGAGCAGGAGCCGTCCGCATCTCTGATCGCCGATCCAGGCCTTCTCAGTCGATGCTGCCTGCATGCTGACGATGTCGTTGGTCCGGTCCGTCTCGAAGACCACCGTCATCGTGGACAGGTCCGGAAGCGTCGCCGGCGGTCCTTTCAGCCCGCTCCTCCTTAAGTAGTCGGTCATCGATCTGACTGCAGCCCTAGCCTCGGACTTCCAGCCGTCTAGGAATTCCTTGGCGGCGCCGGAGCGCACGTCTAGCACGCCACCCGCCATCTCTCCGAGTCTGGCCTCTCGAGGGTCCTTCACTTCCTTAAGCCAGTTTTCGTCGAAAGTGTCGCGCGAAACCGCCCGGTTGACCCCATTTCCATACGATTGTCGGTCAAGTAGTATATGAGGATTGTTCGCGGATACCGCGCTTCATAACCCGGCGGTTCGCGGGTAGCCGGTACCAGTCCGTACTTGTATGGACCCAATCCGGTATTATTATTCGTTTCCTGTCCGAAGAAGCGCCCGGTACGGGCGACAGTTTGGGCGAAAATGGTAATAAGCCGCGCGAGGCACGAGAGCGTCATAGTATTCGGCCAGTTCGAGCACGGCTTTCGGGAGCTCGGAGGGGCCCGGTTCGCCGAAGTCGCGTGGCGCGTACGTTCGCAGCCTGTCGCCTCGCTTCACCACCATGGCCGTCTTCGTAGCACCTCTAGCTCCAGCTCGCCTCCGATCGCGCGTGCCCGGATGGCAGCCGCGTGTTCATGTACGCTCTACACTCCCAAAAACGTACGTGGAGCTCTACCACAGGCTGAAGCAACAGACTATGGTATTATCTTGATAGGAATGGCAAAGCGGAGCTCGTGCAGTTTATAATACTCGAGGGCATGCCTGCGGTTGCAATTCTCATACAATTCTTCGTGCTGCAGAGGGCGCTCAGCAGATTGTATACTTTGCACTCAGCAGATTGGTTTGCAGCATGGGCGCGTACAGGCAGGTATGTGGCACCGCCTAGCTGGTCAGCAATACTGCGTGCTGTTCCAGCAGCATCGTATGAGTGTGCGCATGCAAAGGCCAAGCGTTGAGCACTGACAGTAGGGTAGCTGTATTCTCCTTCATAGATCATAGATTGAAACGAAAGATGCAAAGAACTGAGACCGTGCTGGACTGGACGTCGTGGTTCTACTGTCCCTTGCGACACCCAGGCTTGCTACTGTTGATAACCCTCGTTCTTTTTTCAGTTTTCAGCAAGTATCCAAGCATACTTTATTTTGAAGAAGCTGTCCCCGAAAGAGGAATGACGGCGCTTATGCAATGATCTCGAGCGGATCTGAAGCACCAAGATCTTAAGACTGTCTAGGCACTGTTGTCAGAAGCAATATTCTGATACATTGAACATCGGCTGGATGAATATGGATACAACTATTGGGGTTTCCCCACGTTATTGTCATGCGGAAAGACCGCACAAAAGTCTCACGATGAACGTATTGTTCCTCTCTATCGCAGCTTCAAAACGAGTTCGTTCTGAGATGTTTTTGAGACGCTTGACCGCGTCAGCGCAGAGAATGTCGTGGCACTTTGCGACATCTACCACGAAACCGAAGCCGAAATTGCGATCCCAATTGTTATCGGTATCAGCTACCGTTTTCAACTTGCTCAAAAACACGAGCAGGCTTTTCTCCTCCTCGGACCTTTCCTCGTCAGGAACCTGCCGAAAGAGTTCGAACGCAGTCCCGATCATTCTCGAGACCCCCTCCTTCTGTCCGTGCGTCAGCTCGATCACCATTTCATCATCGCTGTCCGACGGGGTTTTTCGCTGCTTCTTCGGCGGCGGCGCTGCACTGGCGTCCTCGGCTTCGGGGAGAGGCTTCTGCGGGATGCGAGAGAATATAGTAACTCGCGATGCCATCCAAAAATCTCTCTTAGAAGATCGTGGACATAAAAGAGGAATGACTGTGACTAGGCATTTTATGACCACAACGTCCGACGGTTACATCTTCGTCGGACCTGTGATGAGCAATCTGAATGCACCTGTTACGAAGCTCGTCGAAAAGGCCGCATGTGGCGGGCCGAAATTCTTACTCACCGTTGTCGATTTGTGTTCCCGCTTCCTCGATCCCTTTCCCTGCCGCCTCTCTGTCTTCCTCTTGTCCTTTTCCAAGGGTTGCACCGAGTCCGGTCTCTTTCTCTCCTGCTGATCCCTGGGAAGGCTTGAGCCCGGCGCCTGCCTCTCATGCCCCCGCCCCTCCTTAGGGAGCTGCCTCTCTTGCCCCTCCCCTTCCTCGATTTTGGGGAGATGTTTCTGCGGGATGCGAGAGAAAATAGTCACTCACGATGCCATCCAGAAACCAATCTCAGAAGATCGATCAAGGACATAAAACAGGATTGACCGCGACTCTCGAACACGCATATAATAACCAAACAAATCAATGAGAAGTCCATCGCGACATGTGCGACATTCGACGGCTACATCGTTGTCAGACTTGTGGTGAGCGAT